GGTCTGCTTGCAGGTGATGAGTGCGAGGACCACCAGATCGGCAAGAGATTCCCCGTGGGTGCTGTGTGGAGCAGCCGTAACTCGGGCTGCAAGCAGAGCCACTGCATCAAGGAGAACGGTACTCTCTACATCGACCGCTTCCAGTAAGCGCCCTCAAGCACATCGGCTACGACGAGACAGTCCATCTCAATAGTGTTTGTTCAAGCTGTATAACAAGTGGAAGAAGGCTTGCAGAGCATGCCTTGTGTTTAGGTATCAGTTTACATTTCAAGCATACTCCAGAAGCGAAATCGGCCCTGGGAGTGGCTTGATGCTCTGAGCGACGAGGATTTTGGTCTTTGAGAGGCAACTGTGGGAAATAACACATAGTTTTTTTCTTTCTGCAGGTGCCCCCAGGTGCGGAAGCGGGTGGACTTCCAGAAGCTGAAGGCGGACAACCTGTTCTGCAGAGAGGCCGTGGGAGACCGCAGGAAGGCATTTCCGGACTGCTGCCCCCGCCTTGTGTGTAAACACTACGTTAGGGGCAAGCTGGTCGCTCTCCCTGAGGACGAGTACCCTTTTCTCTGAGCGCAGTTGATGGCGTGCGGTAACATTGAAATAACGACTTGATTGTGATACGATGGTGATAGTTCTAGCTGCCGCAAGACAGTCGCAAACCTGATACGTTATAGTTATCAGTAGTTTTTTTTCACGAAACAGTAGTTTTGTGGAATGGTACCACCAGTGCCTGTAGCGTAGCTTTGTGGCGCTTTGTTTCGTGAAGAGGTTCTGTGTTAAGTGCATATGTTAACTCATCAAACCACCTGCAATTTAAGCAGTGTTTCCCCAGACATCCATGACATAATGGTTTAAGCATGTTATGCAGAGTTATATGGCTGTCAGCTCCTAATTACACCTCTGTCGGAAGTGAGATTTGCTTCGAGTCAGAAAACTAGTTGCTAAGAACGAGCGCCCTGTCGGCTCTGCATGCGTAATTTTAACCGCTGGACAATGACTTGAAGTGAAGAACATCTGAGAATAAAGTTTCGGTTGGAAGCCTACTGTTTGAAGCCTACTGTCAACCATGAAACACTACCATGGTATGTTTACATGCTACGATCAACGAACAGCAAAATGAAGCAATATTTCCAGCGATAAAAGCTACGCACGTATAGGTAAAAACGCACACCAGCAAATTATAGCTTTCCAACAAAACTTTGTTATCATAGAAACACATCCTTCCTTGTTGCAATGGCGCCAGTCTTCTTTTAAAAGCCGTTCTGTCAGTTTCCTCCTCGTCACGTTTCTAGATGATCTTGGCTCATCAAGAATTTATGTATCAAAATCGAGACACGAGACAAAATACACGTGACAGTAAACACACTGTAACTCAAGCAGCTTTCCGAATCGATGAAAAACCTCAAGCCACCGTGCCGTTCACTTGCATTTACGCAACAATTGATTCGTTGCAGGGACTATCGAAAATTTTATTCCGAGTTAGGCCGCGAAGATTTGTAAATGTACACCACTTGCTGAGCGAAAGAGCACTCCTATGGACAAATATTACATTTCTGTTGCTGCTTTTGAAGGCGTAAGAAAGGACAACTTGAAATACGTTCAGTCAGCGCGCTAGTACAGCGCGGTCCTATCTTTCTCGCATGGCGCCACTCAGGCAAGCCGAAGAGCCATGTTCCTACACATCGCGCTGATTATCCAGGGAATGCTCCTTTAAAGGTGCGTTTGGCGTCATATGAGGACGGCATTCCATTGTTGTTCAGATCTTTTTGGACGCACCCCGGATGGCGTACAGACACCCAAGAATCTTCAGGATGAAAAAGGATGCTGTCAGCGTGTTGGCATGAGTCTGCTTAGTCTCTTGATTTTCAAAACGTGTCAGAAGTATGTTAATTCCGTTTCGAGAGGTGTGATCTATCGAATATACTCAGCATGACGGCAATGTTCTTGAGGTTTTGCCGCTTTGCGGTAGGTGTGGGCAGCATCATGTTCGCTCTTCAATTTCAGCACGTTCACAGAGCCGTAGCGTGAAGCCGTTGATGTCAAGCTGCAATTGTTGCTCATGTATCTATTGCTTTCACTCTTTTAAGATTGCAAATTTTCAGCCAGCTTTGTAAGAACTGTCTTTCCGCTTTGTTTGTGTTGACGAGGCCAGCCATAGATCTGAAGGAGCCTGAGCAGTGCTTTAGGATGCCAGTAATGATTAAGAGGCCCCATTCACCGTGACGTCACCTAAGGTATGTCAGGTCGTGGCATGACTCCTATGCAGTTGATTTCAAAACTCAACTGAAATGGCAATTCGCGCAGAGGGCGGATATCGCAAGCACTTCTCCATGAGTTCTCTTCAAGCGTCTTTCTCCGGGAGTGCCGACCTCCAGCCAGGTCGTCTCCTGAAGAAGCCGCACGTCTGAAGGAGATCTCCGCTGGGAGAACAAGGTCTCATGTCATCTGCATCTACAAAGCAGTCGGTTTTCAAGGGAAAAGGAAGCAGATGACTGCCTGCTAAAGTTCTTATCTCCAATGTTTGCGAACTGTTGAACCCAAAAAGCAGGACCCTAGCAAAAGTTCACTTGACGGCGTGTATCGGGATCGGGATTTGCTTCGAGTCACAAAACCATTTGCTAAGAACGAGCGTACTGTCGACTCTGTATGCGTAATTTTACCCGCAGGAGAATGACTTGAAGTGAAAAATATCTGAAAATAAAGTTTCGGTTGGAAGCCTACGGATAGGAGACTGCTGTCAACCATGAAACACTACTGTCGTATGCTAACACGCTACGATGAACGAACAGCAAAATGAAACAATATTTCCAGCGATAAAAGCTACGCACGTATGGGTAAAAACGCACACCAGCAAGTTGCAGCTTTCCAACAAAACTTTGTTATCATAAAAACATACCCTTCCTTGTTGCAAAGGCGCTGGTTTTTTTAAAGTCCTCCTGTCAGTTTCCTCCTTGTCACATCTCTAGATGATTTTGGCTCATCAAGAATTTACATATCAAAATCGAGACACGAGACAAAATACACGTAAACAGTAAACACACTGTAACTCAATTAAACTTTCCGAGTCCATGAAAAAGCTCAAGGCACCATGCCGTTCACTTTGGATTACGGAACAACTGATTCGTTGCAAAGACTATCGAAAAATTTGGTCCCAAGTTAGGCCGCGGAGATTTGTAAATGTACAACACTTGCTGAGCGATAAAGCACTCCAGTGAACGAAAATTACATTTCTGTTGCTGCTTTTTAATGCGTAAGAATGGACAACTTGAAATACGTTCAGTCTGCGCGCTATTACAGCGCAGTTCTATCTTTCTCGCATGGCGCCATTCAGGCAAGCCGAGGCGCCCTGTTCCTACATATCGCGCTGATTGCCCAGGGAATGCTCCTTTAAAGGTGCGTTTGGCGTCATATGAGGACGGCATTCCATTGTTGTTCAGATCTTTTTGGACGCACCCCGGATGGCGTCCGGGCACCCAAGAATCTTCAGGATGAAAAAGGATGCCGCCAGCGTGTTGGCACGAGTCTGCTTAGTCTCTTGATTTTCAAAACCTGTGAGAAGTGTGTTAATTTCGCTTCGAGAGGTGTGATCTATTGAGCATGATCAGCATGACGACAATGTACTTGAGGTTTTGCCGCTTTGCGGTAGGTGTGGGCAGCATCATGTTGGCTCTTCAATTTCAGCACGTTCACAGAGCCGTAGCGTGAAGCCGTTGATGTCAAGCTGCAATTGTTGCTCATGTATCTATTGCTTTCACTCTTTTAAGATTGCAAATTTTCAGCCAGCTTTGTAAGAACTGTCTTTCCGCTTTGTTTGTGTTGACGAGGCCAGCCATAGATCTGAAGGAGCCTGAGCAGTGCTTTAGGATGCCAGTAATGATTAAGAGGCCCCATTCACCGTGACGTCACCTAAGGTATGTCAGGTCGTGGCATGACTCCTATGCAGTTGATTTCAAAACTCAGCTGAAATAGCAATTCGCGCAGAGGGCGGATATCGCAAGCACTTCTCCATGAGTTCTCTTCAAGCGTCTTTCTCCGGGAGTGCCGACCTCCAGCCAGGTCGTCTCCTGAAGAAGCCGCACGTCTGAAGGAGATCTCCGCTGGGAGAACAAGGTCTCATGTCATCTGCATCTACAAAGCAGTCGGTTTTCAAGGGAAAAGGAAGCAGATGACTGCCTGCTAAAGTTCTTATCTCCAATGTTTGCGAACTGTTGAACCCAAAAAGCAGGACCCTAGCAAAAGTTCACTTGACGGCGTGTATCGGGATCAGGCAAGCTTGGGTAGCAATGGTTAGTGACAATATACGTCTTAGTGATTCCAGTCTCATGAAAGGGCGTCGGAGCGTTCACGGCGCCGCAGGCAGATATACCGGGATCGTCGGGACATTCATGGCGCCACAAATAGACGTGCTGAAATCGCCAGGACATTTACGGCGCCACGAGTAGATATGCCGAGGTCGAGAGACCCCAATGTTCTCCTGCGCCCCTCTGTTCCCAAACATGGTGATCTGTGCAGGATAAGTAAGCTCAATCATCTACTGCCTGTTTGCAACCAACGTACGTTACAGAGATGTGGAAAAGATTTCAATAGAATTTCGCCAGAGCTCAACCGGTTGCTGTTGCATGATCGCTAATAAAGATTAGCACAAATACCTCCACCCAGTAAGAGGAATATTCTTCGATTTCTGGTGTGACACAAGATGAGCAAATTGACGATCAGCAGACAGTCTTCAGCAGCCAACGGCAGTCGTGAAGGGTCCCCTCGCTGGCGCCGGGCAGGACGGGGAGCACCACCGGGGCGCCGAGTCGTGGCGCCAGAGAGTCTCACCGTGGCCAAGACCGGGCGGGCGGCGAGGAGATTCCCTGTCTGAACAACGCCCCTGGCGGTGGAGTGGGCGCACGCCGCACGCGCGCCCGCACGCCCTCCGCCGCCGCTATATAACCGGCGTGCCAGCGGCGAGAGAGGTACAGACGACCCGAGCAACGGCGCACAGCGGCCATAGCAGCACAGCACCACAGACCACAACGTCGGCCAACATGATCAAGTTCGCAGCTCTGCTGGTTCTCGGGGCGCAGCTCTGCTTGGCTCAACAGTACCCGAGGTTCGTCAAGTTCCCCGTTGGAAAAGGTGAGTGCTGCAGCGTTCGGATGCAGCGTCAGCTGCTATTTGCATAGGGAAGTTATAAATCGGGCCCCACTAAAGCACACGTCAACAGTTCAAGACATCTCAGCAATTTGTCGTCTGCTTCGTAATCATGTAACTATAGCAGAATAGTATCACCAAGGTATGATCAGCTATCGGCGGCATGATATTCTTCGCTTTGCTGTTCCGCAATGTTTGTTTGCGTGATGGTTCAGTTTTTGTAACGGACTCCTACTGGGATACAGTAACGCTTCAATGCCGGTCAGTTTGAAACGCAGGGCGTGCATGCGCCACCGCTATTGGCCGCACGAGACTTTGGCTAAAAATCACGGGACTCCACAAGAGGCACGAGATTGCTTACGATCGGCCGCTGTTACGCAGCGATCTTGTGCGACGATCTGTTGGTTTACATTACGCGTCAAGGTGGGGGTGGCGAGGCGACCGGTGACATGGTCTGACTGTGGCACTGTATTGCTTTCAGGTGATAAGTGCCAAGACTACCAGATCGGCAAGAGATTCCCCGTGGGTGCTGTGTGGAGCAGCCGTAACTCGGGCTGCAAGCAGAGCCACTGCATCAAGGAGAACGGTACTCTCTACATCGACCGCTTCCGGTGAGCACCCTCAAGCACATCGACTACGACGAGACAGTCCATCTCAATAGTGTTTGTTCGAGCTGTGTAGCAAGCGTTAGAAGGCTTGCAGAGTTTAGTGTTTAGGTATCAGTTTACATTTCAAGCATACTCCAAAAGCAAAATCGGCCCTGGGAGTGACTTGCTGCTCTGAGCGACTAGGATTTTGGTCTCAGAGAGGCAACTGTGGGAAATGACACATAATTTTCTTCTTTTTGCAGGTGCCCCCAGGTGGGCAGGCGGGTGGACTTCCAGAAGCTGAAGGCGGACAATCTGTTCTGCAGAGAGGCCGTGGGAGACCGCAGGAAGGCATTTCCAGACTGCTGTCCCCGCCTTGTGTGCAAACACTACGTTAGGGGCAAGCTGGTTGCTCTTCCTGAAGAGAAGTACCCTTTTCTCTGAACGCAGTTGATTGTGTGCGGTAACATTGAAATAACGACTTGATTGTGATAAGATGGTGATAGTTCCACCCGCCCAAGACAGTCGCAGACCTGTTAAGTTATAGCCACGACTAGTTTCTTCACGAAACAGTAGTTTTGTGGAACGGTACCACCAGTGCCTGTAGCGCAGCTTTGTGGCGCTTTGTTTTGTTAACAGCTTCCGTGGCAAGTGCATATGTTAACTCACCAAACCATCTGCAATTTAAGCACTGTTCATCCCTGACGTTCATGACATAATGGTTTTGAGCATGCTTATGCAGAGTGTTATGTAGCTGTCATCTCCTGATAACACATTTGTCGGAAATACCATTTGCTTCGAGTCACAAAACTACTTGCTAAGAACGAGCGTACTGTCGGCTCTGCAAGCGTGATTTTACCCGCTGGACAATGACTTGAAGTGAAGAAAACCTGAAAATAAAGCTTCCGTTTGAAACCCTATTGTTTGGAGTCTGCTGTGAAGCATGACACATCACTATCGCATGTTTAGACGCCTTAAACCGCAAAATAAAACAATATTTCCAGCGATAAAGCTCCCAACGTATAGGTAAAGACGTGCAATAGCAAATTAAAGCGTTGTAACACAATTTTGTTATTATAGAAACATATCCCTCATTTTTGCAAAGGCGGCGGTCTTCCTCCTAAAGTCGTTCTGTCAGTGTTCTCCTTGTCACAGTTCTAGATGCCCTTGGCTCATTAAGCATTTACATATTAAAGGTGAGGCACGGAACGAAATACGCGTAAACAGTAAACGCGCTGTAAGTCAATCAAACTTCCCGAGCCCATGAACAAAAAACTCGAGGGACAATGCCGCCCACCTCTATTACGTGACGGTTGTTTCATTGCGGGGACTATCGATAGATTTGATTCCGAGTTAGGCCACGCAGCTGTGAATATTTATCTACACTTGCTGAGCGATAGTGGTGAAAATAACGCTTCTCTTGCTTCTTTTTAATACGCAAGAAAGTAAAGCCTTAAACGCGCCCAGTCTGCACACAAGGACAGTGCGTTCCTGTCTTCCAGGCGAGCCAAAGCGCCCTTTTACTAATTATCGGGCTGACTGTCAAGTAACTGCTCCTTCAGAGGCACGCTTGTTGCCACATGTGGAAAGCATCCCAACGTTGTTCAGATCTTTTTGGACATTGTAATAATGGAAAGGAGAGTTCGGGAAATAACTTTACCTCGGATGGCGCACAGACACCCAAGAATCTTCAGAATGGAATATAAGGGTTTAACTTGGGTACGGGTCCGCTTATTTTTTTATTGTCATAATGTGTCAGAAGTGTGTAAATTCCGTTTCGAAATGTACATTTTGTCGAGTGTGATCAGCAAGACGAGAATATGCTTTAGGTCTTGCCGCCTTTCGGTAGGTCCAGGCGGCATCATGCCGGCTTTCCACTTTCAGCACTTTCAGAGAGCCTTAGCGTGGCGTCGTAGATAACGAACTGCAATTGCTGCTCATGTTTGTGTGGCATTTTGACATTTTAGGGAGATTTTTTACACTTTCAAATAACTTTGTAGAAATTATCTTTCCACGCTGTTTGTGTCGGCTAGGCCAGCCATATATCTGAAAGAGCTTGTTAAGTGCTTTAGGATGCCAGAAATAACTAACAGGCTTCTGTCACCGTGACGTCATTTGTGGCATGTTAGGTCGTGGACCGGCTCCCATGCAAACTACTTTTAGCAACTCAGACAAAATAACAGGTCGCACAAAGGTTGCATGACCCAAGTATTTCTCCATGATTTTTTTCACGTGACTTTCTCCGAGAGTGTTGACCTCCAGCCAGGTCGTCTCCCGAGGCATCCGCACGTCTTAAGGAGATCTCCGCTGGGAGAAAAGGGGTCTTATGTCTCCTGCGCCTACAGAGCAATCGATTTTCAGAGGAAAAGTGAACAAATGACCTCCTTCCGAAGTTCTTACCACAAATGTTTGTGAACTGTTGGGCCTAAAAGAATAGGATCCAAGCAAGCGTTCACTTCAGGACGCCCCTGCGGATCATCCAAGGCTAATTAGCAGCGGTTAGTAATAATATAAGTCTCACAGAGTCCATTTTCATCAGAGCGACGTCGGTGACCTTTACGGCGCCACGAGCAGATATCCCGAGGTTGTCGGACATTTATGACAAAACGCGCGTAAACAGAGAACGCGTTGCTACCCAGTGAAATTTTCCAAGCCCATGAAAACTCAATGGACGACGCCGTGCAGTTTTGTTTACATGACGGTTGATTCATGGCGGGAATAATCGATACCTTTAATCCCAAATGAGACCACGGCGCTGTGTAAGTTTCTCGCGACTTGCAGAGTGATAATGACGAAAATGAATTTCTCTTGTTGCTTTCGAACGTTTGTTTTTAAATATGTAAGAAAGTGCAATTCTTAGGCATGAAATGCATCTAAAGTGGTAGCTCCCATGGAACAGATAGTTGTGGTCAGGTCAATGACCTTGAATGGTCCCACGAGGCCTAAGTACCTATTTAACTCAGATCGCTCCCATGTCACACTTTTGCGCTAAATGTGTTGGGAATGCGACTTTGAGTCCAGTCCGCTCAGCATAGACGCAATGTTGCTCCGGGAGCCTGCAATTTTCTAATTTTTCTAAAGCACTGGGACGGATTTAACTGGGAAGGTCACCAATTTATGGCGAGAGATGCATGAAAGCTCGCCTGGAATGCGTATGCTAACTACCTCCAGGGAAGATGAGTTAATTCAGGCGTGACTTTGCGATTAGGAAAGACGCAGCGAACGGTCGACGTGGGCATTTTTCCGAGAACCATACGATGTGCGGGCTACTTTGCAATCACGATGCAATAAACTTTGTGGTGAATCAGTGCGCCGATTGCAGTCGGGTGAGATGAGCCATTGCTGTGTAGGTGTCCTGGAATCAGTGCGCCGATTGCAGTCGGGTGAGATGAGCCATTGCTGTGTAGGTGTCCTGGAATCAGTGCGCCGATTGCAGTCGGGTGAGATGAGCCATTGCTGTGTAGGTGTCCTGGAATCAGTGCGCCGATTGCAGTCGGGTGAGATGAGCCATTGCTGTGTAGGTGTCCTGGAATCAGTGCGCCGATTGCAGTCGGGTGAGATGGGCCATTGCTGTGTAGGTGTCCTGGAAATGGTATTCATAATGCCTGATGCGCATATCATTTTCACATGCTTGTTGGACTTGTGCGGTCTTTATTGTGACTTCATATAAGCTTGGTACAGCAAACGATGATTTTTGCGTCATGCTGTAGCACTTGAACTCAACCGAAGTCTGCATGATTTCAGAGTCACCTCGAACCACATCCAAATGTATGCACACGTCTGGTCTTCACACGCCGCAGTACACCTCCCTGGTCTTACAGGTGGCTGCAGGCTGCCCTCTACGCTTCATCGTCTGCACTCTCCATGGACGCGCGGTTTCGGTCGACGCGTATCAGTGCCCAGCGGCTCGAACCTCACGATTCATCCCTTTGAACAGAGAACACTGAGACGTCTCACGCCATCGCTCTTACAGGTCACGCACGTCCCCAGCGCACGTCACACGTCCGGCTCTCCCACGTCTCGGCGCCGCACGCGAGCCGGTCAGGCGGCATGCACGCCGGTGGGGTAGGCTGCGTAGGAGGCGACGCCACACATGTTGTCGCCCCGCTTCATGCGCATGAAGCCGGCCTCGCCCCAGGACGTGCCCCAGGAGTTGGCCAGCGTCCAGAAGGCGGTGCCGGACGCCGTGCCGTAGCCCACCAGGAGGACGGCGTGGTCAACCCCCGACGCCGTGCACCGCGGGTCGTCGTAGATGCCGGAGGAGTAGAGCTGCAGCAGGCACGGCTCATGTCAGCGGCGATGGCCTCCACCGCTGCAGGACACCCGAAGGCAGCGGGCAAGGGATGCTTTCTGGACGATGTCAGTGGCCTATCGGGAGTGGGCGGGGGCTTGTTTGCGTGTACGCTTTGTTCGGACAGAGATCCTTTCGTGACGATGGAGCATTTTTGAACTGCGCTCTGGCATGGAGAGACGCAGGCGGTGATGTGGTGTGGAACCGTGTTGATGCCATCGATGTCTGCGCTATGACCTGGACAGACGCAGGCGGTGATGTGGTGTGGAGCAGTGTTGATGCCATCGAGGTCTGTGCTGTGACCTGGAGAGACCCAGGCGGTGATGTGGTGTGGAGCAGTGTTGATGCCATCGAGGTCTGTGCTGTGACCTGGACAGACGCAGACGGTGATGTGGTGTGGAGCAGTGTTGATGCCATCGAGGTCTGTGCTGTGACCTGGACAGACGCAGGCGGTGATGTGGTGTGGAGCAGTGTTGATGCCATTGAGGTCTGTGCTGTGACCTGGAGAGACCCAGGCGGTGATGTGGTGTGGAGCAGTGTTGATGCCATCGAGGTCTGCGCTGTGACCTGGAGAGACGCAGGCGGTGATGTGGTGTGGAGCAGTGTTGATGCCATTGAGGTCTGTGTTGTGACCTGGACAGACGCAGGCGGTGATGTGGTGTGGAGCAGTGTTGATGCCATCGAGGTCTGCGCTGTGACCTGGAGAGACCCAGGCGGTGATGTGGTGTGGAGCAGTGTTGATGCCATTGAGGTCTGTGCTGTGACCTGGACAGACGCAGGCGGTGATGTGGTATGAAACAGTGTTGATGCCATCGAGATCTGTCGTCACCACCGTGACTTGCGCCTCTCAAGGATCCAAGCCTCGGTATGTGCATACGCTCGGGACACCCACCAGGCCGGCCTTGGGGCCAACTCATGGCTCCGGCTGGAGCTGCCGCTGCACACCCTCCCCAGTTGAAGGGGCTTTACGTGCCTTCCGGATGAGGCGCTGAATGAGGTGACGCAGGGCAGACGATTGACGGGACAGCCGTCTTTCAGGGCCGACACCCTTCCTCACTTCGGAAAATTTCACTGCACATTCCGTACGTGTTGGTCCTGCACATTCCCTTTCAACTTCGGAAAATTTGCGCCCAGGAAAATAAGCCCAGGCGCTGTATGGCGAGGCACGGATCAGATTACGTTCGGTTTCCCAACGCCGTGGAGGTTCAGCCTGTTCTGTGACTGTGACTAACTGCGTGTTACTGTGCTCTTTCACAAATTAAAGAATTGAGCACGTGATGGGTTAGATTCTTGGGTGTAAAGCGTCGGCCGAAATATCACGTGGACCTGACACTGATGTCCTATGGCTTTCACACATTTACTTGAGGTATCCGGTAGTAGTCCGTATGTGTGGTAGAGCCCGGCATCGGTAAGGACATACGACCGACGCAGCAAATCTGTGGCAGACGCTTTCTCGGTGACCACGGTCAGTCAAGGCCTTTCCATCGCGGTGCGCACACGATCTAAATTGGCACCGGCAAAATACCGACGTGATCTCACACCCACACACAGCGAAACCAACTGCTGCACAGAAGACCCACGTCGTCATGCTTTCCTCCGATCTCGCACCCCCAAACAACTGCTGCACAGCTGGCCCAAACAACTGCTACACAGAGGACCCACGTGACCACGCCCTCCTCCGATCTCGCACCCCCAAATAACTGCTGCCCAGCTGACCCAAACCAACTGCTACACAGAGGACCCATGTGACCACGCCCTCCTCCGGTCTTGCCGCCCCCTCCCCGCCTGGAAACACCTACCACGCTGGGACTGAAGCCCACCTGGAACGAGGCGAGTCCAGCGTTGATGAGGACGGCGACCGGGTTCTGAAGGAGGCCGGCGGCCAGGCCGACCTCGTCACCACTCGTCACCTGGTGCACCTGATCCAGGGCGGCGGCGGCCGGCGCGTTCTGCCGACACGTGCCCTGACCGCCGGTGGTCGGGTAGTCGGCCTCGGACGCCAGACCGTGCTCGTGCACGTACTCGAGCGCGCCGGCCATCGACGGCGGCGACACACAGTCGAGCAGGTTCTGACGGCTGAGCGAGACCAGCTGACCGTCGCTGATCACCAGGCCGCTCTCCACGGCTGACACGGGCGGGATCGTCCAGCCGGCCGACATGCCCTGGTTCCTGATGTGGATCGGCACGCCGTGTTGCCGCCAGTCGAACTGGTCCGGCGCGGTCCGGTGCGGTCCGCCCGGTCCGCCGGTCCCGCGCGGGCCAGCTGGCCCCGCGGAGGCGGAGCCGTTCGCTGGCAGTGGCGTTGCCGTCTGCGGAGGTGGAGGCGCGAGCCCTCAGCGCTGGTAGGGAAAACGAAGGCGTGGGACACCTGCAGGTGCCGTGGAAGCATGACCACGCTGTTATTTTTACTGCCGGTGATGTAATCGCGAAAATTTGGGGTGAATTTGGAACACAGAGAGACTGCTCCGCCAATGAATGTTCAAACATTGAAGTATATTGCTTTGGTTGTGAGTTCTGCTTGGACGTTGAGCAATAATTGACACGATTGTGCTCAACCTCTCACAGGATTTGCAATTATTTCGTTCCGGAAATCGATTTAGAGACACCATTTTTTAGCTGTGAGGCGCTAACATTATTTGAAAAGCAAGACCAAACACATCTTGGTAAACGTCGCTTGCTAGACGCTGAACAATAACACTAATAATGGAAATGCGGTAAACTTCAATTGAAAACATAGCTTCAACAGAGCTCAAATAACATATATTTTGATTAACTGCATTCAAAACGGTTTAATCAACTGCTGGGCACCCTTTAAGGTCAGATATCGTCACAACAGGCGCCTCGACATGATATTAACCTGGCATCACCCGTCGGCACCCGTCGACAAACGCGTCACCACAGCATCAGCTGCGCCATTCCTCACCGGAAGGAGCACCCGCCGGCCGAACTCCTCGCTGGTCAGATCGGCGAACTGGTTCACCGCCAGACGATACGAGCTCCTGCCAGCGTCAAACTGGGCGTTGTGGCGGCTGATGATCTCCACGTTGCGCTCGAACACCTGCCTGCGCAGCTGCTCCTGCGCCGTCGAGTACACCCTGCCGAACTGCAGCTTGAACGCCTCCCAGTCGCCGGCTGCGGCGCCGCCGGGGGTCGCCAGCCAGCCCGCCGTCGCCAGGAGCAGCAGAGACCAGCTGAAATACAGGCAGCTGGCGAGAGGGCTGCCTCCACGCTGTGTGAGGCCACACCGAGTCGCCGCAGAGTGGGTCGGGTTAAGTTGTTCGGAGAGTTTCAAGTGTATTAGTTATAAACACCGGGTTGGTAATAATGTAAGCTACGCTACAAGAATCACTTGTTCTCGAATGTCCAACGGCCATGCAAATGGTCTGCTGTATTCGAGGTCTGCTGGGTAATGTCGCTGGACGAGGGCTCAGATGATGTAGATCACCTGATTGCAATCTAGTCGATGTCTGATATATTTTCGGGGCAACTACTTTGTAATTGCAAGGCCTTCGTGGATCACATATCATTAAGATGATAAGTCAATACCGTTTCACAACGTGCAAAAATAACAATGTATAACAATAGTTCACACGGCTATGTGGGACACAGTTTGTCGTGTTTAGCCTTGCGCGATAAAACCTATGCAGTAGTGAACTGGATTTTCTTGCACAATGTATACTCGCAAGTAAGCCGACATTACTCGGGATTTTACAAAACACCGGTGACTCGGTCACTTACGGTTGCATCATCGCTGATCTGTTCGCGGCACAGAGTGGGCAGCTTAGCGTGGAATGCCGGCAGTCTCTGCAGTGACCTCGTCACCGGCTGACGGCCTCCACACAGTCGGTAACACTGCTGGTAGCGGAGAGCTTATCCGCTCAGCCAAGTGCGCGAGCAGGACGTACTTACACTGATGAGGGCCGCGCCGCCTGTCTGTCTTCCCATCTTATCTACACTCGCTGGCGCCGGTCCCGCCGACCAGCCGTCCGTTCCCGCCCTTGCAGCGCTGCTGATGTGGTGACGGCATGGGCCGAGCTGAGCTTCTCTGCCCGTGCTGGGGAGCGCTGCTGATGTGGCGACGGCATGGCCGAGATGAGCTTCTCTGCCCGTGCTGAGCAGCGCTGCTGATGTGGCGACGACATGTGCCGATCTGAGCTTTTCTGCCCGTACTGGGGCGGCGTGGAGCCGAGCTGAGCTTCTCTGCCCGTGCTGGGGAGCGCTACTGATGCAGCGACGGCATGGGCCGAGCTGAGCTTCTCTGCCCGTGCTGGGGAGAGCTACTGATGCAGCGACAACATGTCTATTGACCCTTTCCCTGGGTCCTCATGTCTCCTTCTATTGACCCGGGCTGACGTATTGGGCAGGGCCATTGTGGCGGTGATGGTGTGGGCTGAACCGAGATGACCTGCTCAACGTCGTTGAGTTGGTGACCGCATGGGCTGGCACAAACTGGACAATGCCTGTTCCGAGCAGTACTGCTGACGTGATGACCATGTAGGCCGATGCAAACTGGACAGTGCCTGTCCCAGGCAGCACCGCTGAGGTATGGAATGAGAGTTGTCCAAACCAGTGCTAGGTTGGAGTGATTTTGTTAGTTCTTACCTAATAGGATTGACGGTGAGACGGTGAAGCTTTGTACGAGCACATAAATGCGCATTTAAACGCAAAACTCCCACTCAATGCGATTGACGGCGAGACGGCGAAGCTTTGTACCAACACATAAAGATGCCTTTAAACACAAAAGTCCTACTCAATGCGATTGACGGCGAGACGGGGAAACTTTGTCCGAACATGTAAGTAAGCATCTAAACACAAAACTGGGTAAGGCAGAGCTTGGATACGATACGAACGAGCCTCTTACCGTGGCCTGTGAATATGCGCCAGATTTGAAACTGACTGAACTTTTACGTAACGAGTTCTATTTTCCTGGGATTTCTGCAAATTACTTGACCGCTCTCAACTCCATGGTTTCGGTTTCTGTTTGTGGGGAAATGGTGACGTTTTCTGAGAAATTCTTTGCTGGCATTACCGTGCCCAGACAGTCGATGGTAGCCGAGTCGAAGGTAGCAAACAATGCCAGTGGATCTTCCCGTCAATGGGAAACGCAATTTGTGGATGGCAGCTGTGTTATGATCTTCAGAACATCTGGTACCCAATCCTCTCGCTCTCAGGCTGAGGAGATACCCTGCCTTTCAATCCCGCTATAATTACGGTTTTCTCTACGGGCCCAATGCATGGCTTTCATGTAGGACAAAAACATTCCGCGCCCTACAGCGGTCGATCATTCAGATATTTTATAATCCACCACTTGAACTCGTTTCCTGGCCTCCGTGGCCTTCGGTCATTCGTGCTGTATACTACATTAGCAATCATAATTCATGTACCATCAGAAAGGGCGAGTAGCCTGACATATCCCTTCAGCTCAAAAACGTTTCAAAATGTTTATGTGGGCTTGGCACACATCGGTTGATATATTACTGCAGGACAAATACAATTATGAAAAAATGGACACTTCGCAACACAAGCACAGTTGATGTCATTCACTCATGCAGCGGCGACGCATAACAGAACAACAGAGTCTCACTGTCAGAAGTGCTCTTCATTTGGCACACAACACGCTCGCGGGAAGCGCTCTCCACCTAAACCTATATCACATGAGGACACGAGCGGCATGTGGGCGGCGACGAGCGGCGCACGGGCGGCGACGAGCGGCGCTGTGCACCGCGGCGTGCGCCGCCCGCCCACTCGGCTATGGCACGCGCGCGCGGCCGGCGCGCGCTACAACCTGAGCTCACTCTCGGAGCTGGAGGAGGCACCGGCCAGCAGGTGGGAGCGCCGGTGCGCCGCCGCCGCCGCCGCCGCCGCCAGGCCACGCGGCACGTGCGGTGACATGGACGGCGAGCGCGTGTCGAGCGGCGAGAGCGCCGGCGAGAACGACGGCGACATGGCCTGCGCCGCGAACGCCTCCTGCGAGATGGGCGAGCGCGGCAGCGACGGCATCGACACGAGTCCGAGACTAGAACGGGGCGGCAGCGGCGCCGCCACCGAGCGCGGCGCCACACTCGTCAGCAGCGGCGGCGGCCGCTTGGCCGCGCTCACCGCGTACGGGCTGGGCGCGCTGTCGTCCTTGAGCCGCGCGATCTCGGAGAACACGTGCGCCAGCGGCTGGTACTGTGGCCCCCAGTTGAGCAGGTAGTCCCAGTTGTAGCTGCCGGTCAACTCCTCCTCGCTGTGCACGATCGAGCTGAGCGAGCCCGTCATCGACGGCTGCGTCTCGTCCAGGCCGAAGGCGCGCGTGCCGTCCATGATGGCCTCGTCCTCCTCGGCGCCCACCGCCGTCAGCTTGGACGAGATCAGCTCGCCGAGGCTGACGCCGCCCTCGGCCGCGCCGCCCGGCCCATCCAGCAGGTGCACGCTGTCGGCACGCAGGCTCTGCGAGCCCTTGTGCGAGTCGGCTCGCGTCGTGTCGATACCCAGCCGCGCCAGGTACTCCTGCGTGTTCTGCGCACTCGCCTCCGACACGCTGTCGCTGTCGTGCAGCCGCGAGTCGGGCACGGCCAGCTGGCGCAGCTTCTGCTGCATCAGCGGGCCCTCGTTGATCATGCGAATCTCCTCGTCCTCGTCGCCGTCCTCGGCCGAGCCGCGCCCGCTCGAGGCGGAGCGGTGCGACTGTTCTGACAGCTCGGACGTCGTGTTGCGGCCTGCTGGCCGGCCGGCCGCGCCGAACGGATGGCCGATCTCGCTGTAGCGCGGCGGGTAGTGCAGGCCGGCCGCCGGCGCCGCCGCACGCAGGTCCGTGTCGAACGACGAGTCCAGGTGCTCGGCCATCGTCGGTTTGCTCACGCGACGGTTGCGCATGTGCAAGAAGACGAAGGCGGCACCGAACGCCAGCACGATCACCAGCATGGCCACCCGCCGGCCGACGCCCCAGTCGGCCAGGCCGCCGCCGCCGCCGCCCGCCGCCGGCAGCCCGGTGCCGTTCAGCGATGGGTCCAGCACCACCTCAACGCCGGCTAGCGCACTCAAGCTGCCCGGCCGGCCGCTAGATGCCACAACCTCCAGCCGCTCGCTGGCCAGGTCCCGCCGTGTCCGCCGCCGCTCGCCCAGACTGCGTGTCACCACAATCTCGCCGCTCGTCTTGTTGACGCGGAAGAAGCCGTGCGGCGTCCGCAGGTGGTACAGCACCACGCCGTCGGGGCCGCGGTCGCGGTCGGTGGCCGCCACGCGGCCCACCACGTAGCCGGGCGGACCGTCGGCCGGCGCGCGCAGTCGGTACTGCGAGCGCACAAACACGGGCGCGAACTCGTCGACGCCGCGCACCGTGACGCGCACCTGCGCCGTAGCCGTCTGGCCGCCCGAATCGGTAGCACTGATCGTGAAGGCATACACGTCGCGCGCCTCGTAGTCGAACACGGCGGCCGTGGTGACTACGCCCGAGCCCGGGTCGACGCGGAACCAGCCGCCGCCGCCCGTCAGCGTAGTAGTTGAGCCGGCCGTAGCGGCCGCGGTCGGCGTCGTTGGCGTGCGCCGTGAACACGGGCCGGCCGGCCGGCTCGTTCTCCGTGGCGAACGCGTAGTACACCGGCTGCGGGAAGCTGGGCGCGTTGTCGTTCTCGTCCAGCACGCGCACGCGCACGGTGGCGAGCGCTGAGAGCGGGTGCGCACGGTCGCGGTCGGTGGCGCGCACGATGAACCGGTACTCGGCCAGCCGGTCGAAGTCGAGCCGCTTGCGCAGCCGGATCAGGCCCGTGTCGCGGTCCAGCTGGAACACCTCGTGGTCGTTGCCGGACGTGATGTCGTATACGACGGCCGAGTTCTGGCCGGCGTCGCGGTCCGTGGCGTGCACCTGTAGCACGGCCGAGCCCACCTGCGGCGGGGAGGTCACACGGGTCACACGGGAGGTCACGCGGTCAGCCGCGCGTGCCAGCGCCCGTCCGCGACGGTCGCCATACACTCGTCGGAACCACGGCGCTGAGACGCATGTTGCAAAGGCGGGCACAATGCAAGCTTTCCGCGTGGCAAAGCTACCACATGCGTGATCCGTACGAGTAGATATGCAGGAGAAGGGACTCTTTGAAGAATATGCAACTAGCCAGCAAGACCTTGCCAATGCCAATGCCAGCAACCAAACAGACTGCAGACGCGAATAATTTGAAACTCGTCGTTCCAACAAAGCGGCGATGACATTTCGGTAACGCCATTGATATTCTGCATAAAAGTGTCAGTTGACTTTATATTCATGGACACTTTCAGCATGACAGTACCGCTGTCAGCACGTCGGAAGACCATATTAGCACTGTATAATAGCTTGGTGAGAGCAGCATATTACCGAATTTATCCACTCGTCTGAGTATCTCACCAAGGAGAACATTGTTTTAACAAGCAATTATTTGCACAGCCATTGAGCATCGGTTTTTCACGTCCTCTCTACACAAAAGGTGCGCAACTGGTCTGTCAGCACGGCTAGGACCGCTGCGTGGTCAGCCACTGCGGCGGCGAGCCCGTACCTGCGCCAGTTCGCTCACGGAGGCTGTGTACTCGGACTGGTTGAACTTGGGCTCGTGGTCGTTGACATCGGTGACCTGGATGACCACCTGGGCGGTGGCGTTCCTGGCGGGCGTGCCGCGGTCGCTGGCGGCCGCCTCCATCACGTACTGGGCGCGGTGCTCGCGGTCCAGCGGCCGCAGCAGGATCACCTCGCCACTGGTGCTGCAATGAAGAGAAGGATCAGCACCACTACACATACGCAGTAACGTGTTAAAAGGCACAGTGTATGGGCGTTTACACGCGCTAGACACGCATAGTCAGAATTCACGTACGGACAAACACACACAGGTATGTAAAATAACTTGGGTTTACGAATTTTTTCGAATTTGTCGATCTACTGGAAAGCATTCTGTATTCCATGTGGCTGGGCCCTGCGCACATTTTGACTCGAAATTCCCAAACAAATGTTGCCATCTGCGATAGACAGAACACTTTGTTCCATGACCGTGCGCTACCTGGCTATCTGGAACATGCCGTCCTCGTTGCCACTGACGAAGGAGTAGTCGATGTTGCGGTTGTGACGCGACTCATCCATATCCTCCGCAGTGATCTTCATGATCACGTGACCCATCGGCGTATCCTCCCCTATACTGGCCCTGAGGAAAGCAGAGTCAGCTGTTCAGGAGAAATGACGCGAAAATTCGGCACCTCTCCTCTTGCATTCCTACGAAAATTCGCCACATCTCCAGCATAAGTTCTTGTGAGAATCCATGTGGTCTACGTCAATGAAAATCCTGTGGCATGCGGAAACAAGTCAACCCACCCTGTCGTTCTCACGCTCGCCCACCATTCCTAAACTTCAGCACGGTTTTTTAAGACAATCCGCCTGTCCATCCCGCCGCACCCACCTGTACACCGTCTGCTCGAACTCCGGCGCGTGGTTGTTGATGTCCTCCACGTGGATGGAGACGGCGGCAGCGGCGCTGAGCGACGCCCGGCCGCCGTCCCGCACGCCCACCACCAGCTGGCGCACCGGTCGGCCCGGCTCGAAACGCATCGTGGTGTTGGTGAAGAGCACGCCCGTGTCAGGCTCCACGTAGAACTCGGTGGTGGGCGTCAGCAGGAAGAAGGTCAGACGGCCGTTGTCGCCTAGGTCGCGGTCCGTGGCGGTCAGGCTCAGCACCTGTGGCAGGTCAGGTAGGGGGTCAGAGAGATTAACCATTGGTCAGACGGAGGTCAGGGTGACCTGACACAATACCTAAGGGAGGCCAGGTAGGGTTCAGACAGAGGTCAGGAAGATGTAAGGCAAAGGTGGTCAGACCGGGGTCAGAGAGAGGATAGACAGAAGCGAAACAAAGGTCAGGCAAATGATAGACAGAGGTCAGGCAAAGGATTGACAGAGGTCAGGTAGATGATAGGCAGAGGTCAGGTAAAGGATAGACGGAGGGCAGACAGGAGTCTCGCGGAGATCATATGACCGGCGCCAACCCGCAGAATCCCCCCACTCCCTGTCCCACTCCTCCAAAGTCGCCTGATTCAGTGCATACCTAGACTCTGGACCAAACAGCCTGTGTCGAAGCGTACATTCACTCTCTACCAGATGGTCAGCGTCCCAGCAGACTTTCGCTCCGAACCGACAGTCTGCCCCGCAGCAGACCTCCATTCACGGACGCTCTGCCTGCTCTACAGCAAGATTCCACCCAGAGTAGGGTCACCTGCCACAACATACTTCCCATCGGGGCCCGCCAGCATGCCTCCAACCATGCCCCCACCCTGATCCCTGTCGGGTACCTCACATTACTCTTCTGCGCCAAGGCTAACAGCGTACCTCTGCGCCAAGGCAACCGGCAACCAAGGCATAACAATGTATCTCTGTGCCGAGCCTAACAGCGTACCTCACACCACACCTCTGCGCCGAGCCTAACAGCGTACCTCACACCGCACCTCTGCGCCGAGCCTAACAGCGTATCTCACACCACACCTCTGCGCTGAGCCTAACAGCGCACCTCTACGCCGAGCCTAACAGCGTATCTCACACCACACCTCTGCGCCGAGCCCAACAGCGTACCTCACACCGCACCTCTGCGCCGAGCCTAACAGCGTACCTCACACCACACCTCTGCGCCGAGCCCAACAGCGCACTTCTACGCCGAGCCTAACAGCGTACCCCACGCCACACCTCTGCGCCGAGCCTAACAGCGTACCTCCACGCCGGGTCCGCTCATCTCCAGCACGCCGGCCGAGTATGAACTCTCCGAGAAGGCTGGCCGCTCGTCGTTCACGTCCAGCACGTTGATGGTAACATTGGTCTCCGCCAGGTGAGCCGAGTCCGAGGCGGTCACGCGCAGCACATACTGCTGCCGGGCCTGGACACGGGTGGCGGCGTCAGGATGCACTGCTATCAATGGAGCCAGAGTGAACACAGCGGGTGCCGTCCCCGGATATTCACAGGGCGGTTGGGTGCACAGATTTTGGCAGGGTCTGGTAGAATAGCAGTGCTGGCAATGCCGGAGAATTCCGCTCCCAACAGCTTCAAGCATAGCACAGCTGTAACCTTATCTGGACTTTATTTCGATAAATTTGCCGCGAAATGGCTGCTTCCGTCCCTGCAAAGCAAGACTGGGTGGCGCTGGGCAGGCTAATATGGGCCTCACGCAGGCAGGTCATGAACCCCACATGGACCTCAGACAGTCACGCCACACCCCTCGCGCGAGAAGACCTGACCTGGCCGCCGCGCGTCTCCCCCTTCAGCACTGACCTCACGATCCAGCGGCTCCGTCAGCGTGATCTGGCCGGTGAAGCGGTCGATGGCGAAGGCGTCCTGGCGCGCCGCGCCGCCGGCGAAGCTGTACGTCAGCGCCGGATGCGTGTCGACGTCGTTGGCCGTGACGGCCGTCACCACGGCGCCCACCTGCGCGCCCTCGCTCACGTTCGTGACCGAGTGCGGCGGGAACGTCGGCCGGTTGTCGTTCACGTCGATCACACTGATGCGCAGCGCGCACGAGCCGACCATCGCCGGTCGGCCCTGGTCCGTGGCGACGATCGTCAGCTCGTACGAGGAGCGGATCTCGCGGTCCAGCACGATGTTGGTCCTGACGACACCCGAGAACGGCGACTCGATGACGAACGCGTCGTCCAGGTTGCCTTCCAAGATGCTGTAGACCACGCTGGCGTTAGGTCCCGTGTCGGCATCAGTCGCTGATACCTGTGGAAGGTAAAAGCCAAAGTGGAAAGTGGCAAAGTGGAAAAAAGTGGAAAAAAGTGGTAGAGTGGAAAAACCGGTCGGCGCCTCTCAAAAAACACGTCGCTATATTCCGGCGTGATTCAACGTGGCGGTGGCGGGTCGCAGATGTCCCTGCCTCACATAGTGCTTGAATCGTTTCGTTGAGACACAAGTCACTCATTTCAATCTATCAAAATCCGAGGCAATATAACTGTACCACAAAGAGATTAACGCCTACCTATGCATAACATGCCTTCAGCAGCTGCACCTCACCGGGGGAGGGGGAGATGGAAGCGGGCAACAAGTGGGAATAAGCAGCCGCTGGCGAAATTAAACGAGCCCCGGGTATTCCCGGCTGGCGTTTTTATCCTGCTCTGCCCCGCTCACCTGCACCACGAACGTGCCCTTGTTGTTGCCCTCCCAAACAGCGCTGATGTACTCGTCCTGCGTGAAGCGGGGGGCGCTGTCGTTCTGGTCCGTCAGCTCCACCAGCACTGAGGCGTACCTGAGGCGGGCGCCGGCCCTCTCACACACGTGCATGCACACACGCAATGTCGTCTGGGCGGCTGTGGCTCAGCTGACGCGGGGTTGTTTTAAAATTCAGCATACACTTTGCTGAAGCGTGTTGGCCGCACAGAGACGGCACCACACACCTTAACAGACCGGTGATATCAGCATCGCTTGCACCACATACTGAAGATCACGCATCAAGTCCTCACTGGTGAGGACTGGACAAGTCACAACACATCTGTGTACCTAGCTCCAGGAACCACTGCGATGACAATGACCAGGGCAGGCGCCTGACCCTTTGACAAACGTCTGCCCACAAGCCTACGCTTGCAGTTGCGTGGTTCCCTGTGCTTGTGAGCCACGTGGCCGCCCGACTCCTCATCCACAATGTGGTGGCATCGCCAGCTCGTGCGCGGCTCACACATCAGACCCACAGTCTTACCCATAGAGTGGCGTGGCGCCCTCGGCCTGCGAGACGACCACCAGCCGCAGCTGTCGCGTCAGCTCGAAGTCCAGCCGCTGCGGGTCGCGCACGCGGATCAGCCCGTTGTTGGCGTTAATCTCGAACGTGTCGTCCTCGTTGCCGGAGCCGAAGCTGTAGGTGATGCGCTGGCGGCGACCGTCGCTGCGCACGGCCGTCACCTGGCGGCGAAATGGGCGGGGTCAGGTGGGGTCGGATCATGCCAGGTCAGATCAGGTTAAGTCAGGTCACCTGCAGCAGCCGATCAGCACACGGCAACCGCTCACTGAGAACAGCCGACTCGCAGTTACAAAGAAAGGAAATGGACTAACGGAAACGGACACGGAAACGAAAAAGGAAACGGGCACGGACATGCAAGTTAATTCGATGCCCACAGTCGGCTGGCAGCCAGATGGGAGAAACGTAAATCTCACCCCAGTCCGGGTCGTGATGAGGCATCGTTTATTTACGAGCACGCCACGTTTGCCTCGGTGCGTGCCACCATGCGAGCCGCGTGCAGCAACGGTACCGCAGCCGGTCCCACCGCCAGGCCGTACCTGGACGACGTCCGTGCCGGCCGGGGCGTTCTCGGCCACGGAGCCGCGGTACGTGTCGTTCTGGAAGCGCAGCGTGGTGAGCTCGCGCTGCTCGCCGACGTAGATCTCCACCAGCCCGGAGGCCGTCTGCGGCGGACTGCCGCCGTCTCGGGCGATCACCTGCAAGGCGCAAGACGCTCGCAAAGGCCGTCTAACCAGGCGAGCAGAACGCCCGGAGTCCACCGGTTGTCGCGATCTCAAGCTCCCGACGCATGCTAGCAGCCAGATGTATTTTTGCAGGAGTTGTTGTCGGGATACAGTGTGCAGATGATGCTTCCTCTAAGTTCGCTCGACAGCAGGTCGCACTATTCAATGATTTAGGATGCAATTGACACACGCACGACACAGCTGCGCCGACAAGGAATTCAGTCGTGTGGTATGTCCGGGCCAGACACACATCTCACCTCCAAGTGGAACAGCCGGCCCGACTCCTTGCTGAGGGACCCAATGGCCTTCACTACGCCCGTGTCCGGGTGGATTCGGAATGGGCCGTTGGCCGGCTGGTTTGTGAAGCTGAAAACGATCGCACACGTTACTGACGTTCGTTTGCAGAAAGAAACCGGCGTAAAAGCTGTGCACATGCGACCATACTGCTTTGAGGACTGTTTGCGATAACAAGCTGCTATAATCGTAGCGCATTTTATGTTTTCAATTAAGTTCGCAAGACGCAAGGTCAGCCGGATATGCCGCGAACCACTCTTAAACATCAGAGATGAGTCAACGTGAATATATATCACGTTAAGAGGAAAAGGGGATTTCGGCCCGTCGGCTATGCTGCAGACTGCAGAGTATTACTGCAGTGTCTGCACCTACTGCACTACGTCCCTCAAGACGATGGGGTAGGACCAGCGACTTGTCCATCAACACTGGGTTCCGGGCTGCCTCACAACGGTCTGATCTAGACCGAGGGACACCTCGCAGGGGGAGGGGGTGGGGACGGCTAGGCCCACACCGGCCGACCAGCCGGCGGCGGCACGCCCGCTGACCTGTAGCTGATCCGGCCGTTGGCGCCATCATCCTCATCGACGGCCGTCACGGTCAACAGTTCGGCGCCCTGGCGCGTGTGGGCCGGCACGCGCGCCGTGAACGGGTAGCGCGCCAGCACCGGCCGGTGGTCGTTGGCGTCCTCGATCGTCACGGTGACCGTGGCGCGCGTGGCGCGCGCGTTGTACTGGCCGCCGTCCATCGCCTGCACTTCGAACGTGTAGGTGGACTGGCGCTCCCGGTTGAAGGTGCTGCGGAGGATCAGGTGGGGTCCGAGCATCAGCAGGGCGCACACCGCAGCCACTCTGTTACAGCGTTGGCTGAGAAGTTGTCGTTTGTCTTGCAGATTACCGCATATGTCTGGTGAAAACGCGCAGGTAGGTGATAGCGAAAGTAATCTTCTACCACGCTCATGACATTGCTTGAATGAAAGGCCTAGGAAATGGTAACAACGGTTACAAAGCCTTTAATAAAACTGGTTCACCGAACGCTTCAGCTTGACGGAAGCTACACTTACTGACCACTGGAAAAACCAGTTGCCACCGGAAGCTTTAGAAGTACGCTTTGAAAGCAATGTGCATCATAACCACAGGGAGTTAAACGACATGTCATGCTTTGTGTGCCAAGTGTGCGAAAATACAACGCACTGCCCTGTTTCCAGGGGAAGAGGGAGGAGGTGCCTATTGCACCCGCTCACCCAGCCGTGGTGATCTTGCCGCTGTCGTTGTCGATGCGGAAGCGCCACTGGGTCTCGTTATTGATGCTGTAGGTGATGCGGCCGTTCGGCCCGCTGTCGTCATCCGTGGCCTTGACCGTAATGACGTCAGTGCCCAGGGCAGCGTCTTCGGCCACCTGGGCCTGCAACGGGCAGACGGAGGTTCAGCGAGGCTGCACAGGCCACCTTACTCTCGCTGGCTCAGAAGCCGGGCCACCATGACAGCTACGTTTCTTTTTTACTGCCCAGCATATCCACAGATGCCCCGTGTCACAAGATGAGCCCAATGAAAACGGAAATGTCCGCGTGCATAGTCAAAGCAGGAGCCGGGGAAAAATGTCCGAAGGAAATTTCTTCCCTCAAGGCCCCTTACGTTGAAATTGAAATAAACGCATAACTCATAAGCGTTGGGAACACTCACGAAGCCAAACGAGAACGACTTCGCAGAAAGACCATCACAGTCATAACACCCCAGAGACCTACACTAATAAGCAGCATATTTCCTGGAGCTGCGCCCCACACCGCTCGGCCGGCCCCGGGCAGGGCGCAGGCTGACCTGGTACTGCCGCCGCTGGAACACGGGGTCGTTGTCGTTCTGGTCCTGGACGCGCACGTGCAGGTCGCACGTGGCGCGCCGGGCCGGTGAGCCGCGGTCCTGCGCAGTCACCTCCAGCCGGTAGGCGTCGCGCACCTCCCGGTCCAGCGGTCTCACCGAGAGCGCGCCAGACGCCGTGTCCAGCGAGAACTTGTTGCCCACGTTGCCGTCTGCCGCAGAGACGCGCAAGTCATGGCATGATACACATATCTCGTTGACGAGGAATGTTCAAGCGCGGCAAGTCTGCTCGCTAGAAAAATGGCTGCAATAAAATTACGGCATTTTACGTGATATTTTTACAGCAGGCACGGCGCTACGCCGCAGATGTAGCCACGACGAAGTGCAGCTGCAGCGTTACCTCATAAAAAGCTGCAAAGCCGGGTACGAACTCTGCACCTTTCAAAAGGTCTTCAGGGGCCTTCAAAGGTCCTTTGCATCCGTATACATTTCCCCTCCGTTACCGTGTCGGCCCATGACGCCACACGTGGCCCCTAGCTGCCCCTCCCCTCACCGGTGATGCTGTAGATGATCTCGCCGTTCCTGCCGCTGTCAGCGTCCACGGCCACCACAGCGTGCACCACAGCCTGCTCGCTGTTCTCTGGCACGCGCAGCGGGTAGCAGGAGCCCCTGCGGCGGGTCAGGTCAGGTCAGGTCAGTGCTCCGCCGGCCCGTGACCACCGCCGGCCGGACTGGGGCCAGGAGGACGGCCCACGCCATCGAGCGGACGGCCCAGGCCGGACTGAGGCCGGGAGGACAGCCCAGGCCGTACTGGGGCCGGGAGGACGGCCCAGGCTGGACTTAAGCCGGGAGGACGGCCCAGGCCGGACTGAGGCCGGGAGGACGGCCCAGGCTGGACTGGGGCCGGGAGGACGGCCCAGGCCGGACTGGGGCCGGGAGTACGGCCCAGGCTGGACTTAAGCCGGGAGGACGGCCCAGGCCACCGGCCGGGCCACGGCGACTCGGAAGCTGCACTAGCGCAAGGCACAGGCAGGCGTCTGTCAGGACACGCTGACACGGCCGGCTGCGGTGCAAAGCTCACGGAGTGCACACTGGCCGCGACCGACGGCGACGTGCCGTGGTGCGGCGGTGCCGCACGGTGGCCAAAGCAGCGTCGGCTGACGGATCAAAACGAGGAAAGTTCCACATGCCAGCGGCCTGGCCTCATGGCAAGCTCTCAGGTGTGACTGAATTGGGCGACTTTGCTGGGACTGGAATGAGCATTAAACGGCACCAAACACCAAGCACCAAGACAGCACCAAACAACTCTTTAGGAAAAATACTCGTGTCATTCCCACCGGTATTAGCTGGGGAAAAAGTATTTCCTTCAAAAGCATACCGCACAACTACGAAGCAGCCATAAAGAGTGAGGGTGACCCAGTCCCCCAACTTTCTTGCGTAATCTAACAATGCGCCTATGGAGTTGCATGTAAACAACGACGTTTAATATTGAGATGCTCTTCCAATCGTTAATCTGTGGCTGGGCTGCTAAAACACGCGACGTCGCTGAAAATTTCCTGCGACAACTTGTTAACTAATGGGGCATATTTCTTGTAAGACATGGTACAAGAACGCACATCATTCCAAAACTTACTTGAACTCTGGTGAGTGGTCGTTCTCGTCGAGCACGCCGACGACGACGGTGGCGGCGTCGAGTCTAGGCGGAGTCGAGTCGAGGCGGGCGTACACGGTCAGCACGTGGGTGGCGTGCGTCTCGCGGTCCAGCCGCGCCGCCGTGCTCACCTCGCCCGTGCGCGCGTCCACGCGGAACATGTCGCCGGCCAGCCCGTCCGGAATGTGGTACGTCAGCCCGCCGTCGCCACCTGTCGGCAGCGCGTCGAAGTTCGCTCCGTACCTCCCGACGGGGCCGCAGCTGCGGCGCATTGTGCGCCCCCGCAGTCCATCCCACTCCTGCTATTGATGTGGGGTGATTTATGGCGCGGCGAGATAGCCCAAACGAACTTTTATTGCCGGGATTTGCATTCCAGGAGTCTTGCACACCGAGATTCTCGTGGCGTTGTAATGTAAATAGCGACCCGCTGCTGTGATCGCTGCTCACCCGCCGCTGTCCCGACCGCTGTCACGAACTCAACAGGGGCCGTTGCTCATCTTCGTCCGGAGTTCACCAGCAACAGCGGTCACCCAGTCCCGGCCAGAGCTCACCAGTGGCGGCTACCCGCCTTCGTCCAGAGCTCACCAGCAGCAGTGGTCCCTCCCTCTTGGCCAGGGCGCATCAGCAGCCGCTACCCACCCTCGTCCAGAGCGCACCAGCAGCCGCTGCCCATACTCGTTCGGAGTGCACCAGCAGCCGCTAACCACCCTCTTCCAGGGTGCACCAGCAGCGGCCACTCCCCTTCGTCCGAGGCGCACCAGCAACGGCCACTCACCCTCGTCCAGGGCGCACCAGCAGCGGCCACTCACCCTCGTCCAGAGTGCACCAGTAGCGGCCACTCACCCTCGTCCAGAGTGCACCAGCAGCGGCCACTCACCCTCGTCCAGAGTGCACCAGTAGCGGCCACTCACCCTCGTCCAGAGTGCACCAGTAGCGGCCACTCACCCTCGTCCAGAGTGCACCAGCAGCGGCCACTCACCCTCGTCCAGAGTGCACCAGTAGCGGCCACTCACCCTCGCCCAGAGTGCACCAGCAGCGGCCACTCACCCTCGTTCAGATCGTCGGCCGAGACGCGCACCACGAACGAGCCGATGGGCGACTTCTCGCTGACGTTGGCCCGGTACAGCGCGCGGCCGAACAGGGGCCGGCTGTCGAGCACAGGCTGCACAGTGACGCCAACGACAGTCGAAGTCTGCTGCATTGGCTGGCCGTGGTCTGAGGCCGTCACATTCAGCGCGAACTCCGTCTGCGACTGGCCGTCCAGGGGCTTGCCCACAGACAGCAGACCTGCGAGGCACAGGCGGCTGTCAACCCGTTGTGTTTTGTTGGCGCCGGGTCGGCCCGGCCGACGTCGCAACGTCTGCTGGCAATCGGGTGAAGAGAGTCAACCTAGCATGGGATGGTCACGCGGCAGCACTGTACCGTACGTAAAGATCACCGCAGACTTGGCTGGCGAGAAGGCCGGATGCCAGTTATTCAAAGTTCGTGGAAGTACCTGTTTTGAAAAAGCAGTACCAAGCATAACAAAGAACTTGGAGGAAAAACACTCAGCAAAGCACTCTTGCTCTTCTCAGGAAGTTCTCTGAACCCAAAACCACGCGTGCAAAGCATTCATTATCAAAATGTCAAGAGAAGAACACCGATGCCGCACATTTCTTACTTGGAATAAAGACAATGAGCGAATCACATACGTTACACAATACGCTTGTGGTATTGGTGGCGGTGGCGGCTCACTTCTTTCCACTATGACAAATCAAAACGCTCGATAGATTAGCAGCCACAATCTGGGTGTCTTCCTTCCCATAGTTGGCTTTTCTAAAGAAGGGCACACGTGGAGGACGCCGTTTCTCGCGACCGGAAATCGCCACGGCCCGCAATCCACCGCCAGCGCATTGTTGACAGCCGTGCGGTGGCCTGCTGCACCGACCAGTGGTTAGCCAAGGACTGGTCAGGCATTGCGGTTATGGCAACATGGGCCGTAACGACCTCCGCACAGACTAACGAGCTTAGGGAAACCGCATCCCGACGTGTTCCGCAATAAAGCCGAGGTTTATTGACGTTGCACTCGTTCACTAATGATGCGGCAAAGATGAAGCTTCGTGCACGGCTTCGCGGTCGCGCGCGGAAAGAGACAAAGTGTAGGGCGAATTGTACCATGCCTAGCTTTAGAGGTCAGACACACCATGCTTTCTTTGCGTTTGCCAGAGACATATCGTGAAAGAGCCCAATTGCAAAAAGTGTTAACGACGCCAGGCATTTTACCATGATCCTAAAGCTGAGTCTTTGGAAGCGGTTTTTTTACAACATGCTACGTTCCGAGCATTAGCTCGGTGTGCAGCCTGACTTGTCAGGGTGCGGCAGGATGCTGCCTGGCGTGTGCTATCACGCCGTGCCGGATCATCCAGTTCTCGGATGACGGCGATCACGGCATCATAGGCGCTCTGCAACTTCTGAGATCATGCTGTATTCAAAAGATCCCATGACTTGCAAGCAAATTTATGCCAGGAACGAGCATCAGAAGCCAAGGTCGGAGTCGGAGTCGTTCTGTTCTCTGTTTTGAGCAGATCCGTAAGCTATCTAGAGTAACTCTGTAACTAATGCGTGACCGCAAAAAGTCTTCTAAGTGGATGATATGAGCGCGAGCAGATTTATATTTACGTGACCGCAGAGATGTCGCCCGCGGCTCTGAGACCCACGACAACCAAAAGCCTGTACACAGATTGCCGGCGACCGAGACCACCTAGTCAGCACAGCACAGAGCTGGGCACGAATAACCATTGCAGTGGATGCGTTCTTAAAGCCCAATAACTTACTACCTCCGAGGGGAAACGGGAGGGGCGATCAGGCCACTCAGCGGCCCCACGTGCCGCCAGACTGCCTCGGGGACGGGGGAGGAAGTAGTCCACTCACCGGTCTCCTCATGCAGGAGGAACACCTGGTCCGAGTCGCCGTCCACGATGCGGTACGTGACGCGGCCGTTGTCGCGCGAGTCCTCGTCGACAGCGATCACGTGCAGCAGCGGATGGCCGACCGGCTCGTCGCGCTGCACGGTCAGGCCGGCGCCGCCGGCGCGCACGAACACGGGCGCGTGGTCGTTGACGTCCTCGACGATGATCTGCGAGGTGACCGAGGTGCTGAGGCGCGACTGCTCGTCCTCGCCCTGGTCCGTGGCCGTGACGATGATGGTGTACTCGGCGTGCTGCTCGTAGTCGATGGCGTCCCGCAGCGTGAGCGTGCCCGTGTACTGGTCGATGGCGAACGCCGGCTCTGGCGACTGCTGGCCCAGGCTGTACCTGAGGGGGGGGGGGGGACGGGTCTGTTAACACCAGCTCTGGCACTTCTGGCCCAGGCTGTACCTGAGGGTGGGGTGGGGTGGGGAGGTCTGTTAGTGGGGTAGTGGGGTGTTCTCTGAGATAGCTTCTAAGGCAATAAAGTTATTAAACTTACGATCAATTCAAATTTCATCGACCTAGGATCACATACGACGGTCAGACCGAGATCAAAACCAGCCTGATTTTTACCCGCGATTTTTTTGTATGGGGTAGCTTCTGGTGCTAATTTTGAATTCACTCATAACATGGACTGCAACAAAATTTTACATGGACTTCTTAAAGGTCAGTGTAGGTCACTGGCGTAAAATGACCCAGGTCAGTGTTTGATCTAAAGAACAGACCGCCCAGCGCCAACCCTGATACTTAATCCAACACAAAAATCACAACAATTTTTTTTTTGGTCACCTTGACGTAATCAAGAGTAAAATATGGTCAATGACCTTAAAATAGAGCACCAGTGACCTTTGGCTTAAAACAGGTATCTGGATTCAACGCGATTGCATGAGGAGGTCTGGGGACATTTTCAACACCAATATGAAGTTTGATCTTGTTTGACTTTCTTTGGCAGAAGGCCATAACCTAGGAATCTTAGATTTTAATGCAATACATTTCATGTAGAGGCTAATTCACCCCGTGAGTTTGGAATCTCTAGCCCTATTAGTTTTTGGGGATCTCGAGGGTCAAGTTGAGCCCCACCCGGGCGAGAGTATTCCAACGGACCCCCGGGCGAGTGCTGACGCGTGTTGTCTCGGTGCAAGGATGCCAGATAAGTCCTCAGTTCTTGGGCAGCCCTCCGATCGGCAGAGTCTCCACGACTGGCGCTGGCTGCTCCGATCGCCGTCGGGGTCGTCCCCGACCTTGACAGCGCAACATCGCGTGCTCGCGGCCGGGCTTCGGTCACCCGCGTCGGCTTCTGCTGCTTCGCGTCTAGCCACTGAAGCCGCTGGGACGGACTCCCGGACGAGGAAGCGATCCTCGGCGAAATCCAGCTCACGGCACGGATTACATGCGAGACGGTCGGCGGAGCCGGAGACAGCTGGACCGGGCACGCCCGCCAGCCTCCTCGGCAGACGACAGCGGCCCCAGAACCGGACAAGAGGGCCCGCGGCTACACAGACAGGACCCACGCCTCTCTGTGAAACGGCCTCCGCGGTGATGTCACGGCGGCACCAACTCGCACCGATCATCCATCGGTGGCCACCGACGCCGCAGCTCAGCGCAAACGTCAGTCCGGCTCCCGTGATGAATTATACCGGCAAACAAGCGGCCGCTCTATGCCGAGCGAGATTTGCATGTCGCATGAGCAGCTGCTTGGGCCCCGGCTACGGTGATGGACATTGTCGATTCTGGGTTTCGAAGAAATAAGACGTTTGATGGCCATATCGGTCACGGTCCCCGGAGCCCTCCCACTGAGTCGCCGATCAAAAGGCCCGACGATTTTCATCCCTCATTTTCAGTCAGTGCCAGACAAATCGCTGCATTCTTAACCGCATCGGTGTCATTGTGTACAGATGCACTGTAGATAAACTAAACGGCATCGCTATGCACCTGGTGCTTCTTGAGTGCAGCCTACAGAATGGATGCATGTTGTCCCAGGCTGTTCTAAGACTCCCAGGCCTCCGTAAGTGGGAGCACACGTTTTGCCACATACGCAGGCGATAGCATTGGTGATGGTTGGTCTGCTTCCCTGCCTTCGTCTCCACATCCTAGGCAAAGATCGTATCCGTTGACCCAAGCACTATTCCCCTAATCCGGACGTCATGGCAAAGCGGGTACCGAGAAGCTGCTTTTCGCAACGGGTACCGAGAAGCTGTTTCTCGCAATGCCCGCAATAATGGCTACCACCCTCGTCTGGAGAACTGCGAACACGCTTGATATGCGTGACCCCTGACACCCGCATCCAACACGAAATGTCGGCCCACCCAACCCCCTCATCTGACACTGTGTGTCGGTCCACGTGAATCACGCATCCGACACCGCATGTCAGCCCACCTGACACCGGACGCGACCCGCATCTGACACCGCAAGTGAGTCCACCTGACACCCGTACCCAACACCGCCTGTCGGCCCACCCGCGCCTTTATCTGACGCCGCGTGTTTACGCACCCGACTCCCGCTTTCGACGCTGCGTGTCGGTTCATCTGACACTCTTGTCTAGCACCGCATGTCAGTCCCTCTGGTATACACATCTGACATCGCGTATCGTCCCCCTGACGCCCTTATCTGACACCACGTGTCGGCTCACTTGACGCCCGCAATTGACACCGCGGGCCGGCTCACCTGACACCCACATGTGACACCGCGTATCAGCGTACCTGACAATGCCGTCGGGGCCGCTGTCGCTGTCCGTGGCCGTGAAGTTCCAAACAGCTGAGCCGGGCGCCAGATCCTCGGCCACAGAGAACAGGATCAGGTCCTCGGCGAAGGAGGGAGCGTTGTCGTTTACGTCCTGCACCAGCACGGTGACGGCTACCTCACTGTTCTGCGGGTTTGTGGCGCTGGCATCGACGGCCGAAATTTGCAGCTGGTACTCGGAGGCCATCTCGTAGTCCACCTGGCGGCGGCGACACGCACTTGCGTCAGACGCCGGGATGGAGACCCAGGAGTCCAGACACGTGTTCAATTCAGCCGCCGGAGCAGCGAGTCACGACACGCGCTCATGTTAGGCGCCGTGACGGAGTGTCATGACACGTACTCGTGTTAGCCACTGGCGCAGAGTGTCATGACTCGCGGGGGCTCCGATGGAGCCGCCGGTGCCGGCCCTTCCCGGCTCTCACTCGCGGTCCGTCTGTTGCCATGGCGACCATGCTGTTCAGCTGCCACCGGGATGAGACGCCACTCATGTGGGCCGTCCGGGTTCAGTAGTTTACTGACAAACACGCCAAAAAAACGCCTTCCTGCCTGCGATGGACGTGGCGATGGCAAAGATCAGAGTTATCGTCTTCGATATTAGAGCCTTGACGAATATAGACGGAATCCCATTGAAACACCTACCAAAGTGAATGATTTTTGATCATGCTCGTCTTTATAGCTCTGCTGGCGAAAACCGTTCGTTGATTTAGCCTGCAGATATTTTTTGACTAGTATGCCTTGGAAGCCTCTGAGCAAAAGTGATTGTTGGGGATATTCGCGATTTCTCAATTCCAGACGTCCTTGTATCAATTCCATCTAACACTGTTTGACAACACTGGATTAGTCGGCAATAAAACGGACAATCTTCTGATCGAAGCAGTAAGCTTTTCGGAGAGTTGAAAATGTTTACCAGTGCTGAAGGCGGTTTGCAATTCACGAAGAAAAAGCGGTGCAACGGTTGATGTCGCTCATTCTATACTACCCAGTCACTGGCAGTCCATTACAAGCACATCCCGTAATCCACGTCCCATCCATCGACGGCGCCGGTCGTGCTTCGAGTGCATCTGATGTTAACACAACCCCAGTCTTCACACAACTGAGCCCAGACAGAGCAAATGCCAGGCCCTTACATTTCGTTTTCGTCACGGACCCTGTCACTGTGACGTTCTATCCAGGCTGAAGACATCACGCCGGAGGCGTGGCTTCGGCAGTGGTCCCCTTCGCCACCAGCACAGTGCGGGGCTCTCGCTCACCTCTCGCGTGGTGATGAGCGCGCCCGTCGCCCGGTTGATGTCGAATGTGTCGTTGAGGTTGCCGCTGAGGATGGTGTAGGTGACGCGGCCGTTCTCGCCGGCGTCCCGGTCAATGGCCTCCACCATGCCGACCTGACGGACAGCACCGTGTCCTGTCACACGCTCCTGGACGCTTGATTAATTACGCGGCCGACGCCGCATTTCGGACGTCAGCTCCACGACAGTTGCATGCGGACATTTCTGCAAATGGATGCCTGCACTGGCGAGAATGCAGTTGGTTCGGAGGACAGCATGCCGCGCGGTTCTCTGCGATGCAAGCCATGGCGCGCTGCTGGCGGTGGCGTTCGAACGCCAGGCTTCTGCTAACGACCGCGATATTTTCGGGGGCAGGGCAGCGCAATTACGTGCACAATGTCCGCGTTCGCAATGCGAGGCAGGATTATCAGATGGGTAGCGTGGATCGCTGACATGCGACTTCTAGTACAAGTTCACGGAAGCGGATGGAGTCGTCGTCCTGTGAGTGACCGGCGCAGCACGTCATTTACAGGATGTGACTGACCGGCGCAGCATGTCACTCACAGGATGTGAGTGACCGGCGCAGCACGTCACTCACAGGATGTGACTGACCGGCGCAGCACGTCACTCACAGGATGTGACTGGCCGGCGCAGCACGTCACTCACAGGATGTGACTGACCGGCGCAGCACGTCACTCACAGGATGTGACTGGCCGGCGCAGCACGTCACTCACAGGATGTGACTGACCGGCGCAGCACGTCACTCACAGGATGTGACCGACCGGCGCAGCACGTCACTCGCAGGATGTGACTGACCGGCGCAACACGTCACTCACAGGATGTGAGTGACCGGCGCAGCACGTCACTCACAGGGTGTTAATAATCACGTTAACAATCGCCAACGCGATAGGTCGGCGCCACAGCGCGATCACACGCAGCGGATTGGCCAGTGGCCCCACCTGGAAGCCAATCGGCGAGTTCTCCCGCACGGTGAACGACAGGCTAGAGGTGGTGAAGGTGGGCGAGTTGTCGTTCAGGTCCAGCACGTTGATGGTGAGGGGGTGGCTGGCCTGCCGAGCCGGAGCGCCGCCGTCCCGTGCCACTACCTCCAGCCGGTACACCGCCTTCGCCTGGGACACAAGCACACCTCCAGCTGCTGAGTCTGCGCTCATCCGTTTCACAGGTTCGCTGACACCCCAGCTGCACAGCAGGCCCGCCAGTGCCAGGCTAGTGCCAGTCGGCAGGTCACGCCAGCACGCGGCTGACCTGACAACGCGCCGCTGGCAGTCCCACGAACTCACGCTGGCAGGCCTGCTGGCAGGCGGCGGCGGCCTGCGGCATGCATGACCGAACGTTGGCGGCAGGGCCGTTCCGATTCCAGCTCGCTATGGCATATGGCTGGGACTGCTGGGACCGAACGTCGGCGGCAGGGCCGTTCCGATTCTGGCTCGCTACGGCATACGGCTGTGACTGCTGTGACCGCACGCCGGCGGCAGGGCCGTTCCGTGCGCACATCGCGCACGGTTGGCAGTCCAGATGGCGCACGTCCGAGCTGGTGGGCGTACCTCGTGGTCCAGCACCCGGGTGGTGGAGATGACGCCTGTGACCGAGTCAATGCTGAACGCACCGTCCACACCCGCGTCCACACCTGCAAGAGGTCACAACGGTGTCGTCATTGGCATGCAACCGCCTATTCAGGCGGGTTGGATTTGAAAATGCTCTGTGCATACTCTTACAGAAGACCGGTCATGCTGTTCATACATACATATTTACAGCTGAGGTGGCAGAAAATCACTATGCGCGTAGAGTGGCTCTTATCTTCCAGTTCCAGGAGTGCAAGACACAGGAATGTACGGCTATCGAGCCCCACCCACCGGCCTCCCCTCCGTGTCACTGCCGAGGACCACCCAGACGGATTGCCCGTTTGCCGGCGCTAATGGTCCGCGGTCAGCCGGCACCTGAACACGGACAGCCAGCAAACGCTCCACGCGGGCCCGAGATAAGCCGACAGCAGCCACTCATAGGCCTCATGTCGACACTGCACACCGGCCTGAGATTTGTGTCCTATCACCGACTGATGGCCGTCTCTGCAACAGTCAGGTGCCAAAGCCCGCACTGGGATTTGTGATCACGTGAGCCAGGGGCTGGAATGGCCTACTGCATACATGCTCACTCATTTACCGTTGTGTCATAATGAAAAGAAATCAGATGTTCGATAGAAATCATTGAAAGCACCCGGACCTGAGCATAACCGCACGCCATATCTCCAATCCCGATCTCTATGGGCTACTGGTTTGAATATCAGCACATAGCAACAGTCCCACTGGTCGCGCGGTATGCATTTAGCCCTCGTTATCTCCGCCAATTGTGGTGGGTCTGCACCAACAACGTCAACATTGGACGCCGCCGCTCGCTGCACACACGTAGCCCATAGCTTGCCTTCACAGGCGGCTCTGCGGGTCCCCGCCCGCTACCGGAACTCGAGCCGGCACCACCCCTCCCCGCCCCCTCCTGAGGCGCCCGCGACTCTCCCGACGCCGGCTGTGGGCGTGCCTCCCCGTCCCCTCCAGAGGCGCCCGCGACTCTCCCGACGCCGGCTGTGGGCGTGCCTCCCCGTCCCCTCCAGAGGCGCCAGCGACTCTCCCGACGCCGGCTGTGGGCGTGCCTCCCCGTTCCCTCCAGTGGCGCCCGCTGCTCTCCCAGCGCCGGCTGTGGGCGTGCCTCTCACCCCCTACGGCGGCCCCCGCGGCTCCCCCATCGCCGGGCCATAGGCGTGCCTCCCCGCCCCCTCCAGTGGCGCCCTCGGCTCACCCGGCGCCAGACTGTAGGCGATGGAGGCGTTCTGGCCCAGGTCAGCGTCGGTGGCGTGCACCTGGACCACCTCGGAGCCAGCCTGCTGCTCCTCGCGCACGCTGATGACGCCGTCCAGCGGTTCCACGAACTGCGGCTCCGAGTCGTTGTCGTCCAGCACGCGGACCTGCGGCGCACGGAGACGGTCAGTGGCCGGATCCACGCGGTGCTCCTTCCCGCTGAGCAGTGCACCGCAGACCTGCGGCGCGCGGGGCTGACCAGCGGCTGGATCCGCGCGGTGCTCCCTCCCGCTGACCAAAGCACCGCAGACCTGCGGCGCGCGGAGCTGACCAGCGGCCGGATCCACACCTGTGCTTCCGCCTGCTGACCAGTGCGCGGGTGGTGAGCTGTAACGTTCAGCGTGCTACGCACGACGCTCAATCGACGCCTGCACGTGGCGGCTGGACACGCAGTCTGGGGTGGATGAGTGTGCTGAAGCGTGCCAGCCAGTGGGTTCAGGGCTGGAAAGCCGCTCCAGACTCGACGGGGTGGCGTCAGCGAGCTGTGAGGCCGCAACAATTATCATGTTGTGGTGCGGATGGAGTGACAAATCATAATGCTCCCGCATCGAAAAAGATCCAATATGACGGAGCAAGGTGGTGTGAAAGTCTGTGCGTGCACACAGATGGTCAAAACCGTCGACACACCGTAAGTGTGGAACGCGTGCCTGTTGACGCCCAGTGGCAGTCGCGACGGATGCATTCTAGAGCAAACCTGATGATCATCACACTTATCCTAACTCCACCCGACGCAACACGAGGCCGGCACGTCGCGGTGAATGTGCCAGCGCCAGTGTCGTTACCTTGACGAGCGCGGAAGAGTGGCGCGGTGGGGAGCCGTCGTCAGAGACATCTACCGAGAACTCGTACAACTCGATCAGCTCGCGGTCCAACTCGGCGGCTGTTCTCACGGCGCCTGAGGACAACACAACGTTGGTCGTCATGGTACTTATTGACGTATTTGGCAGCTTTCATCAACTGAAACCCTTAGGAACCTGCCCAGAGGTGGGTGAGCCGAACACGTCTGTTTAAGCCTATTGTTTCCATGCGTCACCATGATGCCGATGCCGAACACTCCTAAAAATCTGGATGGTCAATGGACGATACCCTACCCCCCTCCCCGTCCTTCTTCCGACATTCATGTTGATCCTGATACGCTCCTTAATGTGAGCCGAAGCCAGTGAAAGCTCACGCTTTGAATTTCGAGCCAACACCCATCAATTGAGAGACCAGCAGCTTAAGCCGTCTGTGCTCCTACGAGTGTCAATACAGCAATACATGCAAGCAAGGAAACCAGTAGAACATCAGCCGCACACACTCACGCACACAGACGCCACAGATTACGAACAGCTCGCCGTGACTTGTCAGGCTCCTTCCCAGGCGCACGTTCGCACCAGCAACCCCCGTGAGGGTCCTCCCCGAACCCTCTCGGGCCGAGGTGGTGACGGCTGCCGGCTTTGGCGGATCGGTGACGCGGTGCTCCAGGCCGCTGGCGGGAGGCGCGCTGGCTGAGCCGGCGCCGGCGGGCCATCCGCTCGCACTCCGCTCGGCTTCGGCTCGCCAGTGTCACCCGGTTTTTTACGACAGTAAGCCGCGGTCGCAGTCTGATGGCCCGATAAGCCAACGCGACTGAGACGAGGCCCCGACCGGTCGGCCAGCGCTGTCCAGCATTCCGACGATCGGTACTTCTACCCAGTGACTGTTATGGCACAGATCAGCATGCTGAACAGGAGCAATGGGTGCCGATGAGGATGCTTAACCCTTGAGTGGGCACACTCCGCGGCTTGGAACGGCTGATCTCGAAGGCGATTATCTAAGTTGTCAATCACCAGGAAGCATCGCCAGTGGTGCACGATCTTAGAGACGTATAAAAACGTTCAAATGCACAGTACGGAATCACATGACGAGAAACAAATGCATTCAGGCTTCAAGCCGTTTATCAGCCTCGCTTTTGCCCGGATGCTACACGCATGAGGCGTGCTCTCCTGGTGAGCTGGATAGTGCGTGATGCACGTTCGTGGTCTTGTGATCGGGCAGGCACCAGCTGACCCTGTGCCTCATCACGAGACAAATCGCGCGCCGCATCAGCGGTGAAGGGAGCCTCCAGCGTCTCCAGGCAACACCGTGCACGGGACTCCTGCTATTTGCGTCGGCATGCCAGAAATAATCGCCTCATCACTTGACACCCATTGACACCGCATAGTAAACGATGCAGCATTTGCAGCGCTACGCTCCACCTGTAACCTGTGCATTTCTGTGGCCGATGGTCATTGTCTATCTCGAACCACCACACCACACACGACTCTTCAAGTGAGAGCAGCCAGCGTCACACGGATATCCCCATCTGCGCGTCCCTTTCCCCCCTACCCCCGCCGAGCGGCCTCAGCGGGCCCGACCGCCCGCCTCGCCAGGCGGCTGTCTCCCGCCCCAAGCCCGGCCGCCGGCTGCAGCGCGCCGGCCGGTGAGGACGCTGCGCCCCGCCCGGCCGGAGCGCCGCCACGCTCCGCTGGCGCCTGCCGGCGACACTCAGCCGTGCTTAGCGAGATGGCCGCGACAGTTGTGGTGTCGAGTCGGCGCGGATTAATCACACTCCGTCGCCGAGTGAAGTGTCCGGAGCGGACTGGGCTGGCGACGCGCAACCATCTGCGGTCGACGCGGTGCGACACCGACACCTTGTAACCTGCTTAGGCCGGCTTAGTGCGCGAGCCCTGCGCTGCGTCGAGACCCGGTGGCCGCGCGCGTTCCGGGCCCTCCAACGGAGCCTGTGCCACGTCACAGGACAGCATTCCGACATTGGCCGCAGCCCTTGCAGGCCAGGCGGCGGCGCTCGCCGGCATCTGTCGCACGCGGTGTATTCGGACAGCGTGTTGACGCGGTTGAGGGTGAGTTGATGGAGCGTCCCAAACCCGAGTGTGTGTGTGTGTGTGTGTGCGTGTGGGGGAAGGGGTGCCTGACTGTGTGTGTGGGAAGGGGCGGGGGGGGGGGGGGTGCTGCGGTTCTCAGTGAGGGTTGGGCGGAGCGCCACTAACCTGTGCGAGACATGGCAGGAGCGCCGCTGCCAAGAGAGGCCGCGGGCGGCCCTGACTGGGCGGGGGACAGACGGAGCGTCGCTGACCTGCGTATGGCGAGGGTGGGGTTGGGTGCGTGAGGCGTGAGGAACGCCACCGACCCGCAGATGCGGCGCGGTGGGCGGAGCAGCACTGACCTGTGCGCGGGTCCACCCGGAAGCTGCCGTTGGCCGGGCTCAGGCTGTAGCGGAGCGAGGCGTTGGCGCCCAGGTCGCGGTCCGTAGCCGACACTGAGCCGAGCGCCACGCCCACCGCCGAGTTCTCCGACACGGCGAACTCGTACGTCTCGTTGCTGAACTCGGGCGCGTGGTCGTTGACGTCGAGCACGCGCACGACCGCGCGCGCGCGCGCGCTCCGCTCCGGCGTGCCGTTGTCGGTCACCTGCACGGTGAGGCGATGAAGATCGACCGTCTCGCGGTCCAGCTGGCCGCGCAGGTACACCCAGCCGCTGTTGGGGAAGATGCCGAACAGCTTGCTGGGCGACTCGACCAGCCGGTACGTGAGGCGCGCGTTATTGCCCGTGTCGGCGTCCGTGGCCGTCACCTGCAGCACCTGCGCGTTCACGTCGAGGTCCTCGCGCACGGCCACCTCGTACTCATCGAGCTCAAACGCCGGTGCGTTGTCGTTGAAGTCTTGCACGTCGATGTGCAGCGTGAGGTTGGCTGAGAGCGGCGGCGAGCCCATATCCGTGGCGGCGATCACCAGCTCGTACTCGCGCCGCCGCTCGTAGTCGACCGGCTTGGCCAGCGAGAGCGTGCCGTCGCGCGCGTTGATCGCGAACGCGTCATCCGGGTTGCGCAGCAGCCGGTAGCGCACGCGCCCGTTGTCGCCCGAGTCGAGGTCGCGCGCGTGCACGGCGTAGATGGCCGTGCGCAGCTCGGCGTTCTCCGGCAGCGAGAGCGTCGCCTCGAGCGACTCGAACTCGGGCACGAAGTCATTGACGTCGCCGATGGTCACATTCACCTGCGGGCAGAGGCGGCGTCAAGGTGCAGGGCAAGGCGGCAAAGGCGCGTATGGTCAAGGGCTGAGGCAAAGGGCAGGTCAAGGTCAAGGGCTGAGGCAAAGGGTAGAGGCGCGTAAGGGGCTGAGGTAGAGTAGATGTCGCGTCAGGGTCTAATGTAGAGTGGGCGTCGCGTCAGGGTAAAATGTAGGGCAGGTGTTGCGTCAGGATCAATGGTAGAGCAGGTGTCGCGTCAGGCTCTAAGGTAGAGCAGGTGTCACATCAGGGGCTGGGGCAGGGCACAGGTGTCGCGTCAGGTTCTAAGGTAGAGCAGGCGTAGCGTGAGGGCAAAAGGTAGAGCGGGTGTTTCACCAGGATCTGTGGTAGAGCAGGTGCCGCGTCAGGCTCTAAGGTAGAACAGGTGTCATATCAGGGGCTGGGGTAGGGCACAGGTGACGTCAGGGTCTAAGGTTGAATAGGTGTCACATCAGGGACTGGGGCAGGGCACAGGTGACGTCAGGGTCTGAGGTTGAACAGGTGTGACATCAGGGGCTGGGGCAGGGCACAGGTGACGTCAGGGTCTAAGGTCGAACAGGTGTGACATCAGGGACTGGGGCAGGGCACAGGTGACGTCAGGGTCTGAGGTTGAACAGGCTTCACACTAGCGCCTGATGTAGGAGACAGCAGCGATATTAACGGCGGCTGTCAACGCCTGATGCATGAGGACAGGTGCTGGCCAATCTATAACAAGGCGTTTGACAGCGCTGCTCCGGCTGATAACAATAATGGCCTGCAGTAACTCCCGAATGTACCTTGTTCACTTAAACAAACAAGGGTAGATAACCGCTCGCTATTTGATCGCCTTGATGGAATTCTTCGATCGGTCCAGCAATGAAGAGAATGCCATTTTGCCTCGCGGTTGATGCCTAACGAAGACAACAACAAAAAAACAGAACAAACGGAGGCATTGGCTCCAGTTATTCTAGTCTTCCCGCTAGTTCAGTGACATGTACAAAGCGATTAGTCGCACAAACGCGACGTTTCTTTGCAGCGTTCTGCACCGCCTGGCTGCATCGCAAAGATGGACGTAACCCAATCAACCGACGGGCTTCACCAAGTGAAGTGCAGGCGACGGTGATCGGATAAAGTGCAGATGACGGTGATCAGATAAACCACGCAGAAATAACAGAGTGAACCGAAAAGGACACGCCGAATGAACCAGACGCACTTTACCGAATCAATCAACGTCAAGGAAAAATCGCATTGGCAGGCTGGTTTTGTCAGATGACTGCGTTGCAGTGGTGCGGTTTGGCGCGCCAACGTGCTCCAGGGTCACTGACCTGCACGGACCCGGCTAGAAGTGTCTGTGGTGGCGCTCCCGCTCCCGCTCCCGCTGCCCTGCGTGTGACCGTAGGTGGGGGGGCCGGCCCGACATGGCCACTGGCCTGCGTGTGACCGTAGGTGGGCGGCCGGCCCTACATGTCGACTGACCTGCGTGTGACCGTAGGTGGGGGGCCGGCCCGACATGGCCACTGGCCTGCGTGTGACCGTAGGTGGACGGCCGGCCCGACATGTCGACTGACCTGCGTGTGACCGTAGGTGGGGGGCCGGCCCGACATGTCGACTGACCTGCGTGTGACCGTAGGTGGGGGGCCGGCCCGACATGTCCACTGACCTGCGTGTGACCGTAGGTTGGGGGCCGGCCCGACATGTCGACTGACCTGCGTGTGACCGTAGGTGGGGGGCCGGTCCGACATGTCCACTGACCTGCGTGTGACCGTAGGTGGGGGGCCGGTCCGACATGTCGACTGCCTGCGTGTGACCGTAGGTGGGGGGCCGGCCCGACATGTCGACTGACCTGCGTGTGACCGTAGGTGGGGGGCCGGTCCGACATGTCGACTGACCTGCGTGTGACCGTAGGTGGGGGGCCGGTCCGACATGTCGACTGACCTGCGTGTGACCGTAGGTGGGCGGCCGGCCCGACATGTCCACTGACCTGCGTGTGACCCTAGGTGGGCGGCCGGCCCGACATGTCGACTGACCTGCGTGTGACCGTAGGTGGGCGGCCGGCCCGACATGTCGACTTACCTGCGTGTGACCGTAGGTGGGGGCCGGTCCGACATGTCGACTGACCTGCGTGTGACCGTAGGTGGGCGGCTGGTCAGACATGTCGACTGACCTGCATGTGGCCGTAGGTGGGCGGCTGGTCAGACATGTCGACTGACCTGCGTGTGACCGTAGGTGGGCGGCCGGTCCGACATGTCGACTGACCTGCGTGTGGCCGTAGGTGGGCGGCCGGCCCGACATGTCGACTGGCCTGCGTGTGACCGTAGGTGGGCGGCTGGTCAGACATGTCCACTGACCTGCGTGTGACCGTAGGTGGGCGGCCGGCCCGACATGGCCTGCACGTTGAGTAGTACAGACGTGTGGGTCTCGTGGTCCAGCCGGGTGGCGGTCCGAATCACACCCGACTGCGGGTCGATGGCGAACGAGCCTTCCGGATCGCCCGTGTAGATGCTGTAGCTGACCTCTCCGCCTGTGACGTCACCAACAAGGCCAGTTGACCACAATTCTTCCAGACGCCCAATGCAGCCCTACCGACCAAAGGCCTGCGCAGACAGCGCGTCAGCAGAGACACAATTAACGAGGCTAGGGATAGCTCTCGGTTTGATGGGCCACGCAGCCCCCAGTTGCGCCAAGCTTAGAGACACTCTCTAGGTCAGTTGTTAAAAATATTGGCTTAACTTGGACTTGATTTGGCGATCAAATGACAGTTACGGTGGATTACGGTGAGTCGTTATCTGTTTAAAAGAAGCCGATGCGACACCTTACCCTGCTGAGCTTATGGTCACGATGCTTTATTGCACGGTCACGAACAATAGATAACAAAGTGGTTTGGGCAGCAGGAATCGGTCCACACGAAGCTCACGCGTGCAATGAATTAGCAGCTTCTCAATCTTGTTTTTTGCATTCTAACAGTGAGATTACAGCAAGCTGCTATCAAGAGTATGCCAGGCTTTTGTTATTCGAATCGGAGATTTGTGTGTATGCCAAGAAGCTTAAACATATCGTAACGGGTTAGATGCTTCATCTGCTCATCTGTTTCATCCGACCGTGAATGACAGGTTTATACTGTAAGGCTGCTGATATATAATATGATTCATATGATAGGTAAGGTCATTCTGGACCACACACCAGGGACTCTGAACAAGGCTGGAACCTCAGGGCCCGAACCTCACGCCGATGACGCCCTACTGTGGCGCTGAAAGGGCTCACAAAATTTGATTACGGAAGTTTATAAGAATTTACAACTGCTTCATTCGTAAAATTCCTGCCATAGGAGGGGAAATATCACCTAGAAACAAAGATGCCGCCCTCCCCAATCCCTTTCGCCGAGTAGCACCACCTATCAGCGGCAGATATGCGTCGCGCCAGCGCAGACAGCTTGCAGACTTGTAGCCAGGTCTGGGGCCCAGACGCTTGGCCCCAGAACCCCAACCCCTGACTTCTGGCCTCTCACCTAAAACCACTGACCTCTGGCGATTGGCCCGTCACCTGTAACCCTTGACCCCTGGCTTCCGGCTCCTGGCTCCTCGTCTCCGTCCGCCGACCGGCCGACCAAGAAACCCTTGACCCCTGGCTCCTGGCTCCTCACCCAAGACCCTTGACCTGGACCCCTGGCCAATGACCCGTGACCCCTGGCTCCTGGATCCTCACCAAGACCATTGACCTGGACCACTGACCAATGATCCGTGACCCCTGGCTCCTGGCTCCTCATCCAAGACCCTTGACCTGGACCACTGACTAAGGACCCGTCCACCCCCGACTCCTGGCTCCTCACTCAAGACGCTTGACCTTACCACCTGACCAATGACCCGTGACCCTGGTTCCTGCTCCTCATCCAAGACCCTTGACCTGGACCACTGACCAATGACCCGTGACCCCTGGCTCCTGGGTCCTCACCCAAGACCCTTGACCTGGACCACTGACCACTGACCCGTTACCCTCGGCTCCTGAGTTCTGGCTCCCTGTCGTCAGCCGCTAACAGCCGGCCGCTGACCGCTGACCGCCAGCGTCCTTCGCCTCTGACCTGTCTGGCCGGCGGCGGCCCGCACGGCGCCGACCTCCGAGCGGACGGCGGCGTCCTCGCTCACGGCGAACAGGTAGCGGGCGCGCTCGAACTCTGGCGGCCGATGGCGGCTGTCGGTGACGCTGAGCGCTAGCCGGGCCGCCTCCAGCGAGCGCAGGCCGCCGCCGTCCGTCGCCTCCACCTCCAGCTGGTGCTCCGTCGGAGAGGCGCTCAGCGGCCCCGTTACGAACACCTGTCGGGAGGTGGGCAGGCCGACCTCAGTGCCACGCTGGCGTGTCCCGCTTTCCCGACGAGAGGTGAGGTCTCACCCGGCTGGTGCTGTCCCCGAAACAAGAGTGAGCTACCTGGTCAGAGTTCATGTTGCCCACAACACAAATGACTCATGTAGCAACGTCTGCACAAAAGCCGGCACTAGCGTCAGCGTCGGGAACTCATGCCTGCTTTTAGCTGCATGAGCAGGTAAAAGCGACCGGCATTGACATGGCAGCAGCGACATGAGCAGCGCGCAAAATGCTGCAGCATTGCAACCTCTTAATCCCCTCTGTCTGCCAACGGCCACCGCCACCGCCGTCTGCCCACGTTTCCACCACAGCGCAGCGGCCGCCCAGCCACACGCCGACCACCTCCTGCGTCCCAGCAGACGACCCCTGCGTGCGCGCGCCAGCCCCTCCACGCATCGCCGTGCGCCTCACCTCGCCAGAGTCGGGGTCGATCCGGAACAAACCCTTGCCGTTGCCGCGCACGATGTCGTAGCGGACGCGGCCGTTCTGCGCCGCGTCGGGATCGGTGGCGGCCACGACCACCACGGGCGCCGCGCTGACCTCCTCGCGGCGCACGCTGACCTTGTACTGGCGCGGGTAGAAGGTCGGACGGTTGTCGTTGACGTCCGTGACCTGGACCTTCACCATGGCGGTCGTGCTCAGGCCACCTGGTGGGGGAAGGCACATGGTGGTGACTTCTGGGAAGTCCGAAATCTCGTGCTCCGGCGCCACCGGGGCTGATGCTGTGCGCGACACAACGGTGGGCTACGACACCATAGGGAAACAATCACCCTCGACTGGTATTCGGCTGCTCACGAGGTGGACGAATGTTGCATGACGGAGGAAATTTATCCTGCGATGAACACGTTTCTTAT